ATTGGAATCTAATTGAGCGTTCATATGCGACCCCATTTGATCTTCAAGAAATCTTCTGGATCCCTTCGTCACGAAGACCCAAAACTATTGCTCATTATACGTTCCTGCCCTCTACTTTAAAGATATGGGATCACAAAAAGAAAGCTTTAGCTCTGAAGATTTCCCCTTTCCACGTATACATATCAACCGTGGTTTCCACCTGGTATGAAATGAAGAGCCTTTTCGGACTGGACCTCTACAGGCTTCACACGAATTCAAGATCTTGTTGCAAAGTGCTTGCTATATCCCAAAAGTCACTTTGAAGACCTGATTAACATTAAAGTTTCCTGGCTTAGATATTACCAACTCAAAAGTCTTATAGAATGGATATCGGAGAGAGGTTCCTTAACGAGACCCCAAACCAACTTTGGAATCACTGTAAACCAATAATCAGATCGGCAGAAAGGACTTCTATCAAGACTCTACAAGATCCTGATGGACCTAGACAAGGATATTATCTTGTCTGATAAGAAATCTTGGCACAAAGACCTTCAATGCAAGCTAACACCTCAACAATGGCTGTCAAGCTAGGAATCTCAGGCGAATAAATCGCAAAACTTTAATATCAGACTTCAATTATTTAAACTTGCCACAAGATGATCAGAAATGGGAGGGGACCACAAAAATAGCACTGCTTGCTTTTAATTATTGTATAATATGTGGGATATGGTTTTATGGTTTTAAATCTGTACATCGTCTAGAGCTCCACATTCATGGGGATTAGGCAATCCACAAATATAATGTAATAAATAATAAATAAATAATAAATACGTAATTTATATAATTTGAACAACCTCTGAGATAGGCAGGAGAAAGGCAGGCATATAAATGTTTTAAATAAATACTCTCTAGATGGATGTGTTTGATTGGTTTTGACTAATAAGTAGTTTGATTCATCTAAAAATTGTATTCTTATTGATCTTATATTGGAAGAGCTACCCATGGTCCCCATTGACAGATAGCTAAATCTGCGGATTGGGGTCACGTGGAGGCTAAAGAAGATTTTTTCAGGAAAATCTTATATAAACAATACATATGGAATTTAAATCCCCTGAAAAGTGTGTAGAGTATGCACTTACCTCCGGTCATCAACAGCAGTGGTGCCAGGGCTCTGCCCTGGGCCCAGTGGCTGCACAGCCCAGGACTCTGTGCCGGGCCCAGCAGCTGCTCAGCCTAACAGCTACACTGGACATGCTCCTACCAAGGCCGGAAGCCACACTGGGCATGCTGCCATCCGTGGCACAGCTCAGGAGACATGCTGAGCCTGGTAACAGCAGCACAACCCAGGGAGAACCTGGAGGCCATGCTGGTCTTGATGGTGGCTGCCAGATGGCCCAGGGCTCCATGCTGGACCTGCAAGAGGCTGCTAGAGAGCATGGGGGCTGTGCTCGGCTCCGCAAGAGAGAGTGTGTGTGGGGAATGGGATTGCTTCCCACGAGTTTCGTGGGTCCCCATTTGTATCTTTATAGTTGTAAACCAGATTGCCAGAATTGTATTGTACTATATTGATAATGCTGATTGCTTTTTTAAAAATATTTTTTCGAGTTTGTCCAGGCTCACTGTTTACTTTACAATTGAACTCTCACTTATCTGTAAAGTGCTGTGACTTGACTTTTGACAACTATGCAGTTAGTTACCTCCCAGGAGTCCAGAATGTGCAGGCAGACCAACTAAGCAGAGGGGAAGCCTCACTCCACGAATGGGAAATCAACAGATCTTACTTGACCCCTATATTCCACAGATGACAGCTCCCAATGTGTTTGCAACACGGTAAAATTAGAAGTGCTGCTTGCTTTGCAGCAGAAGGGGAGTAGACCTTCTCTCCCTAGGAGACTGAGTTCTCCTCCCATGGACGGGTTCCTTTGTCTTCTTATTTCCACCTCTATCCCTCATAACAAGGGTAGTGAACAAACTCCTCGGGGACCTACCAAACAGTATCCTCATCACACCATGGTGGCCCAGGCCAGGGTGGTTCCCGGTGTTGTTAAAACTCTCCCAAGGCCACTGGCACCACTTTCCTCCAGAACCAGACCTCCTTCTCTCGGTGGAGGGATGCATGTTCCACCATGATGTACCTCACCTGAAGCTGACAGCATGGAGGATTTTCCTCAACCCTTCTCGGACAGAGTAACAGAAGTTGTTCTTAGCAGCAGGAAACCATCTACCAGGAGATCC